CTGGCACTGCTGCTGTGCTGGGACTCTGTTTCCCTGCCCCTCTGCACACAGGCACTGCCCTGCCAGACTCATCAGAGGTCTCAGAAGATTGAACTTGGAGAAAACAAGTCACTGAAGGATCCTTGACTTTGTTTCCATGCATTCCTCATTTACACAGACTCTGGGTCAAATTCAAGATGTAGACAGTGACCCAGACATGGGATGAATAATCAATATTCACTGGAGACAACTTTATCCCAGGAGAAAAACCCCATGAAAACCCTAACCCAGCAGCACAAAAACCTGAGCAAGCAGGCTGGACCAAGGAGTCCCATTCTGAATGCTATGGAAGAGAAAACAGGCCCTTTGTGCCTTCAGAAAAGCATCCAGTCATCATTTCCCTCAGAGCATCTTTGAAGTAAAAGATTTCTTAAGACAGATGCCAGAGTTTGGCAGCAGGCTGTCCTTCTCAGCTTGGAAAATCTCTGGTAACTTACCTAACAATGGTACAAAACCCCCACAGTAATGTTGTCAAACAGCTGCATCTGCAGGATTCACGTTCCAGCATTACCTAATGCACAATTATTACACCTCTTTTTAAAATGAAAATGAAGGAAAAATAAAGTGGGGGGTGGGGGGAGACTCCTCACCCCAGTCATCCATCAAGTGTCCATCCTGGCCACTGCTCCCAAGAAATTTAATATATGCTAAAAAGATATAAAAAGGCCTCAAAAGCTTTCAGAAATAAAAGTGCTTCAGAAGCTAGATTTTAATATTGCCAATTGGGTTTTTACCAGATTATAAAGTTGACTGAAATGCCAGGATACTGCATTTTGGAAGCAGCAGCAGCTCACATATTGCCTTGTATTAGTGGCTGAAGTGTATTGCTGATTCCAAAGCTAGACTATCATCATCTGTGGGGGAAAGTACATAAATAAATGAATACCAATTGGTATTCCCTACCAACCCTGCTGCCTTGAAGCACTCTTTTCAAGTGNAGAGTTTCAGGAACAGCTCCAACCTGATCCGACACCAGCGCATCCACAGTGGGGAACGGCCCTACCTGTGTGGGGAATGTGGGAAGAGTTTCAGGAACAGCTCCAACCTGATCCGACACCAGCGCATCCACAGTGGGGAACGGCCCTACCTCTGTGGGGAATGTGGGAAGAGTTTCAGGAACAGCTCCAACCTGATCCGACACCAGCGCATCCACAGTGGGGAACGGCCCTACATGTGTGGGGAATGTGGGAAGAGCTTCAGTGACTTATCCACCCTCCGCAAACACCAGGTGATCCACACGGGGGTACGTCCCTACACGTGTAGGGAATGTGGGAAGAGCTTTAGGGACAGCTCCAAGCTCCTCACCCACCAGCACATCCACACTGGCGAACGGCCCTATGTATGTGGGGAATGTGGGAAGAGCTTCAGTGACAGCTCCAGCCTGATTCGGCACCAGCTTATCCATACTGGGGAACGACCCTACAAGTGCTTGGAATGTGGGAAGAGGTTTCGGACCAGCTCAGATCTCCTCATGCACCAGCGGACGCACACGGATGAGAGGCCCTTCTGCTGCACCCACTGCGGGAAAGGCTTCAAGCAGAACTCCCACCTCGTCACCCACCAGCGCATCCACAGCAGGAGAGGCCCTACAAGTGTGGGCAGTGTGGGAAGAGCTTCATCAAGAGCTCAGCTGTGGGGAATCCTGCTGATTGAAAATGGAGGCATTGGTCCTGACAACATGTTGATGCACCCTGAGAGAGGAGAAAAACATCAAGAGAAAGCTGTCCCGTGAGAACAAGGACACTGTCCCATGAGAACAACGACTTATTTTGAACAAAATGGCTGAGAAAAATATAAACATGAGAAGAAAACAAGAACAGATGTGCAGAGGGACTGTGCGAAAGTAGGACTGAAAGGGTCCTCCTATCAGCTGTGAAAATTCTAGTTTGTGTATTTGAATTGACCTATCTATGTAATATACATATACCTAAAGAACTGTGTTTAAAGAGCTGTAAACTGCAACTCCGGGCTGCTGCTGCTTCCTTTTCTTTCCAATAAACTTTCTTGCTGGATATTTTGTGTCGCGGTCCCTTCCAACAGCGACATCTGGTGACTCCGACGCGCTGCTGCGTCTACGTGGATATCGGAGGGCAGAGAAGCCGATCGGGCGGCAGGAGGTTGCCGTGGGAACGGAGCTAGGTGAAGCACTGAGAGCAACGGAGACGTTGCCAGGCTAGCCTAGAACCAAGACACCTGGACAGGTGAGCCACTGAGAACATGGGGACAACTCTTAAGCAAAGAGGAATCTAGTGTTGTATCTATGTGGAAGTCTCTCCTGCCTAAACAGGGAAGTTAAACGAACTGGCTTTGCGAAAGATACTACTTTGGTGCAAGGGCCAGGGATATGAAGCAGACACTATTACTGTTTTTAGTCTCTCTACTTGGAAAGAAATTAGTAATAAGCTTTTTACTGCTGCCTCTAAGAGAGAAAGAGTTGCTGCTTCCCTCCTTACAACTTGGCGATTGTTATATGAAACAGTAAAAGACATTAAAGCACTGACTGGTAAAGACAAGACAAAACCTTTTGATCATAAGCCTGTGAGTTAAGTGCCTTTTGCCAATATCCCTGCACACTCCCCGCCTCCCCCTCCTGCGCCTCCTCAATGCAAGTGCAGCTGGCGCTTGGAAGGCAGGTAGAGCTCTTGAGAACTTTTTTCTAGTCACTATGGGGGCAGACCATAAGTGCAAACGAAAGGCATGTGTTTATCGTCTGGAAAGTTCTGTTTTGCCTGCTACGGTTGATGTTTCTGTCTGAGAGGACATTAGAATGCTATTAGATGCCATCATACAGAGAAATCATACAAAAGAAGAGTCGAGCAGAGCCGAAGGGAGCCAATGTGGGACCAGAGGTCACAGAGTGGAGCCGCGAGCAGCCAAGCGACCCCACCAAGATGAATGCAGTGCTAGCGATTCGGCAGTACATGTCCAAGACGATTGGGGACGGCAGCTACGGTGTGGAGGTGCTGCTGATGGACCAGGAGATGACCTTATGAACGCTGTGACTGATTTCCACCTTAAGAAGCTTTCTGCTTCTTGTCTGAGCGGTGCTGCAGAGCTGCGCAGCCTTGTCAAGTCTGCCTGCTCCAAGTGCCTGCAGAATGGCACCGAGTCCGGGTCTGGCACCACCGAGTCCGTTTGTGCCCGGTAGGCAGCGGCGGCCGCGGCGTGGCTGCGACGGCAGCGCCCACGGCCTTGGGTGCCAGCGCGGCGAGCAGCAGCAGCAGTGGCTCCGTGCGTGATTGCAGTGCCATGCCCGGCCCCAGTCGGCGTGCTGCCGGGGGCCGGCGGGATCGCTGTGGCTGTGGCTGTGGCAGCCCCGACTCGGAGCGGTGCGCCCGTGCGTGTGCGCCGGCGGCTCCTCGGGCAGCGGCGCAGGGGGGACCTTATCCCCCGCACTGCCAACAGCCATGGTCCCAAGCGGTGGGACGGGGGAGGTTCCCCTCCCCTGCTTCGCAGAAGTGATTTTTCCCCTGGTACCCCTCCTCTCCCTAGAGCGGCGAGTTGATGACAGTAACAACGGCTTCGGGGGGTGCAGTCGGGGGAGGGGGGAAGCTGTTGGTCTTTTTTCCTCGTTACATCAACCACCCCCCTGCCTATTTGCAGCTGTTTCTCCCTCTCCTATGTTTTTGTCTTTTCTTAAGCAGACTCCGTGATTAGGTTGCTAGTTCCTTCTGTTGATTTTCTCTGAGTGAACCTGGCCTCTCCTCCCCCTCCTTCGTCCTCCGGCTGTGGGGGGCGGGGGCGGGGGAGCAGTGTTCAAGAGAAACGGGTGACCGGGGCGGGGGGGGGGCAAAAGACGGAAAAAGGGAAAGACAACTTAAAACTGACATTACCCCAACTTATAAATCAAATAAGATTGCAGTGTTTTACAGCAATAAGTGTTACACATGTTACAGGCATCCCTCATTTCTCCCACAAACTAAAGTGTTGAGTGTGCTCATGGCATTCTCAAACGTTTTCTTCAAAAACAGAAAGGGAGACTGACGAAAGAATCCGTTGAACCAAGATTAAAAACAAGGCAACATACTTGTTTAGCTTTTTGCATATTGCAGAAATGTGATAGCCAATAAAGACCAAAGGAGAGATAATTTGCTTATCAAATTATATTTGCAACACTGTAATTACAAACTGTGATAAACAAAGTCTCAAGTTTCTATAAGTTTCAAGTAATAGTCTCATTTAGTGTTTGTCTTGACTACCTCATGCATATTGATTGTATCATATACATGTATATTCTGCGGGTTTTTGCTAAGTGTTTAACGTGTAGGTTTTCTTACAGCTAAAGCTGAGAGTTATCTCTACAACCAGTCATAGTTCATGTATTCTTAGACGCACAGGCGCCTAAAGATTTAAAGTTCTACTATATTTACAGCTAAGGCTAAAGGAGCTATCTCTACAGCCAGTCATAATTCATGTATTTTTGGACGAGTAGGCGCCTAAAGACTTAAAGTTGTACTATATTTCATTCTTAGGATAGTGAGAAAGTTTTAGACCTTTTAACCTTGTGAGGGTCTGTTTTGTTTCCTTGGGGGGGGGGTGTAGTGGAGCTTTTGTAATCCATTTATTTTGTTTTAATGTAGTTGCCCATTTGTTTCACGAATCGCAATTATTTATATATCACACAAACCATAATGCTATGTTACAATAATTAGTGATATTTTGTTATGTTATGTAATAAGAAAAGGAACCGAAAAGAGAACAGAACTATTTCCCAGCGGCAAGACGGCACATGCGCAGAAAAAGCTGATACGTCAAAAGGAGGCAGTGAACAGACCGAGTGTGTCCCCTGGCAACAAGAGAACGCATGCGCAAAGCCTCTCGGTAACAGCACAGAGCCTGCGCAGAGAGATCTGATGACGTAAAGCCGAGGAATCAGAACAAAAGGAGGGGATTTTAAAAAGATAAGCCGCTACAAACCTATAAAAGGCAGACTGAAAATTATTGAAGTGTGCCTTGGATGAGCAAGGAAGGCTCATCAAGTCACCCAGCGCTGTTTTTGCTTATTTGATTTTTATATAAATCTATAATAAAACTTTTTTTCTACGATTTTTAAGCCTAGTACTGATTTTACTTATAACAGAAAGTTGTTAGGAATCTCCTATAGTTAACCATTTCGCGTCTCTTACATGAAATTTGGCTGTTTCCCCCTGGGGACAGGGTGTGGGTAGAAAATTTTCACATGGAAAGATGAGACGAAGGGGGTAGTCTTGCCCCCTGCAGAAGTAGTTCTGTTGCCTTTATGACAGAGTATCATTGCTCTATGAGAAGGGTTGAAGATTTCCAAGATAATATTCTGTTCTTTCTTGCTGTATTGTCTTTTACATGGAGAGTTATGCAGGATTTGCAGATTGCTGTTGGCGGCTATGCCATAAATTTCCTTTGAATTATGAAAGTAATAAGAAGTGCACAGCCAGTGACTACTTGAAATGTGTGTATGACTGACGAGTGTCTGAGGTGGCCACCTAAGTGTGACTGGAAAAAACTGTGTGAAAGAGAAAAGCTACATGAATGCGTAACTGTGTAAACTTAAAAATACTTTCCGTCGGTGTCAAGATTTTAAGAAGATGTTGAGGCTGAGGTTAAAAAAGAGATTCTCATAAAAATTTGGTATTCTATTTCAGCCCTGTATGAAGATTGTGGAGGTTGAATCTCAGGTGGAGTTTTTCCACTGGTGTTGTTCCTTAGCTGTGTGAGCTGTGCAGGAGACCACTAGTTTTGGAGCAAGTAAAAACCATAAGCCAGCAAGCATTAGTGCAGGCTGCAGAGTTGGCAGAGCCCAGAGCAAGGTGCACGACCATGCGTCAGCGTACCCGGGAACCATTCTTGCAATTCGTGGAAGAGCTGCAAGATGCTGTAGAGAACCAGGTTTTTTACACTCAGTTACAGAAACTGCTGGTTACACAATTAACCAGAGATAATGCCAATACAGACTGTCAAAAAGTACTATCCTTGATGCAATGATGCAGGCTTGTGCCGGGGCGGGGTCCTTAGACCATCAAATAATTGCATTTGCATCTGCTATGGCAGTAGTGAGGGTCGTTTGAGCTTTTCTGTGTTGTCCAGGGTTTAAATCAGGAGTTGTCAATGTTGCTGCCTTGCTTGTTCAGCCCGTTGCAGGGAGGCCCTTGCAGACTGTCAAGGCCATCCTGCGTTCCTTTTCAAGGGCATCTGCAGTGTTGTGGATAGTGTGTCTTCAGGCCTCCTGGCTGGAGGCCAGAGCAGACCAGTTATGTTGATCAGTGCACCAGAGCTGAAATGTTGTTTTAAAGAGTCCTTATATATTCTCTTAAAAACCCCTCCCATGCAGCAGCTGGTGGCAATATTCATTGTAAAGCATGATCTTGGGGAGGCAGCTGGTCCTTCATCCTTGGGATGTTCCCTGCCCATTGCAGCTGTGTTCTCAGCAAAATAGCATCAATACTTGTGACTGCTGCTTGTTCTATACCAGACGTACTGCTCACGTAATCTGACTAGTGGATGTTTAGGATTCTACAAAGGCAGCGTGGGTTCTAGTAGCACACTTGCAGGACCTTTTGTTCATGTTGCAGTCATTGATGCTAATTATACAAGGCAATTCTGTGCTATAGTTTTCACACTTTATCCACCACTGATAATTTCTAAAAGGGGCACAAATAGCTCAACTTATACCTTTTGTGAGTTATGTTCCCCAAGCAGATTTTTGTGAGTGTCGGGATGAGGAATTTGGTTCTACTGATGCACCACAACTCTTTTGGTCACTGCCGATTTCTGCGTAGCATCCACAACTGACCTGTACTCTCTGCAATACTCAAAGCTTGCTGTCAGTTGTCCAGGTGAACGAACTTCTGTAGTCACGCCAGGGGTTGGGGTTGTGCTGTCAGGCCATACGTCACTGTGGCACTTTTAACCCTGTGGGGATGAAATGCTCTATCTCGGTGGGGGGTAAAAGCTCACTGCGAATTGTTGAGTAGGCTCACTGTATTACAAGGTGTGACACAACTTACCATTGCTTTAAATTGGCTTACAACTATTC